TCGAATTATATGAAAGAGCGTGTTCTACCGCTGCTGGCGGAAAACCGGGGGGGGGTCACTACCGGTTCGAACCCCCCCCCCCCCCCCCCCCCTCCGGAAAACCGGGAGGGGGTCGCTACCGGTTCGAACCCCTCCCCCCCCCCCCCCCTGCTCATCATGAAAAGGGGGGGGGGTCACTACCGGTTCGAACCCCTCCCCCCCCCCCCCCCCCCCCCCCCCCCCCCCCCTCGAAAACCAGTGGGGGTGCGGACAGTGGTGGGGACGGTGTTGGTGGGGACAGTGGTGAGGGGATAGCGGGACAGTGGTGGGGACAGTGGGACAGTGGGACAGTGGTGGGGACGGTAGTGGTGGGGACAGTGGTGGGGACAATGGTGGGAACAGGGGGGGACAGTGGACAGTGGTGGTGACGGTGGTGGTGGGGACAGTGGTGTGGGGACAATGGGAATGAGGTGGAAACAGTGGGACAGTGGAGGGTACAATGGTGGTGGGGACAGTGGTGAAGGCGGTGGCGAGGACGGCGGTGGGACAATGGGACAGAGGTACAGTGGGGACAGTGGTGGGGAAAGTGGGGACAGTGGTGGGAACAGTGGGACAGCTCAGTGGGACAGCGGAGGAGTCAGTGGGACAGTGGGGACAGTGGGGATAGTCGGGCAGTGGTTGGGGCCGTGGAGACAGTGGGGAGAGTGGAACCGTGGTGGGAACAGTTCTGGGGACAGCGGGGACAGTGCGACAGTGGTGGGGCCACTGGTGGGGACAGTAGGGGCGGTGGTGGAACCAGTGGGGACAGCGGTGGTGAGGACAGTGGTGCTGGGAACACCAGTGGGGGATGTGATGCGGACGGTGGTGGGGACCGGGAGTCGTTTGCTGGCGGTGAGTGGGGGGGGGGGTTCGAACCGGTAGTGACCCCCCCCGGTTTTCCGGATCCGAAGGGGGGGGGGGGGGGGGGAGGGGTTCGAACCGGTAGTGACCCCCCCCGGTTTTCGAGCGGGAGGGGGGGGGGGGGGGGAGGGGGTTAGGGGAGGGGGGGGGTTTTGCCGGGGGAGGGGGGGGGGGGGGGGGAGGGGTTCCAGTAGGGGGGGGGGGATTTTCGGAGGGGGGGGGGGGGGCGACCCCCGGGTTCCGGAGGAAAAGGTTGGCAATTTTCCACAGTAAAGCGGCGGTGGATCACGCTCTCTCAATTATATCTATCCCGTGGGATGGTGATGGGAGATTCCTTTGTTTCCGTTGCCACTGGGTGAGGACAGGTTTTGCCAAGTGTCCTGTCTGCAATTGCCCAGGCAGACACAAATACAGGGTCACGCACGATTACATGACCCAGACATGGAAGCGCAAAATTATCCCGCAGTCCCTTGTGGCACACTGCGTCTTCATAACAGTGGACCATGAAGAAACTCTGTCATGGAATCGCCACGAATATATACAAGCGCGGATGAAGAGGCAAGGGAGAGCTTCTGCCAATGTTACGAAAAATGTCAACAACACCAATCAGCAGGAGCGCAGATGGGCCTCCGGGCAATTTGCTACAATGGCGGCCGCTGGCACGATATTTGGAAACAGCCAGCCTGGAAGTTTTCCAGCTTGGATCCCAGAACACGCCGAGGCTCAGCCTCCGGCGCGACATGCCCCTTTCTTGCAATATGTGAAGCCTTTGGTCAAGAGATTTATGTCGTGGCTTGAACATTCGGCCAAAAACGTAAGCAGGCAAACCCCGCCCATTAATAAATGGTGGCCGAGATTGTGGGGAACTGAGTTGGACCAATACGCTCGCCCGAGATCCTGCCCAGCCTTACAGGCATTTCACTGGCCTGATGAAGAGGATGACTCAGTCACTCCTCGAATCGGCTGGGAAAGATGGTTCGACAACATGACTAGAGCCAGCATCTTCGTTCCGACGCTTGCTACAAAAGATGACGTGGTAGATTTTGGCAGATCTTGGTTCGGCGCATTGCCTGAGGAGAATGGAAACAACGCCGACAACGCCAACCCGGCTGCGAGGTTACCAGTCGCCTGGGAGAACAATTTTAGGGCGAGGCCGACTCGCAGTTCTCAGTCTGTTTCAAGACGGATTAGCATGTGTCGGGACCATCGTCTTATGATCCCCGTATTGCGACATGGCACCGGCGCAGCCGCGATGGCACGCGATTTGTCACAAATGGATCTGGATCTCAAAGCGACCAGCGGACCGAATGCCGCGTTGATAACTGATTGATTATTAATGTTTGACCATTCTGAGGGACACGTATACTATCACCATGATGACCCTTCGATCAAAATAACATTGTTCGGGGGAGAAGTTCGAGAAATTGCTGCCCATTACATAATAGAACACACGGGATTCAATCCGACTAACCCCGGCAGGGTTACCCTCACCGGAACGGCAGAATACGTGATCCCGGAGATTATCCAGACCATAGTAGATGACAAGTGGTTAGTGCCAATACAACAAATGCAGCTGGGCCTTCGGCCCATGAGGATTTTCGCAATTGTTCGCGAGTTGATCAGCTATTTTCAGATCGGAAGATCACTTTATTGGCTACCCGGGGCGAATCATTCGTCCCCACATGGCGAGGGCGGATGAAATTGATTCAAAGAAACGGACCGACGAATATGCCTTGGACTGCCGCATTCGCGCGGCTGTCAAAACGGACGATATCATAGAAAGGTGGGCCCACAAGATGGGCAGGAGAGTACGGAACGACGTCCGTTGCCACGGGGCTCTAATACAGGATGCCATTTCTTGGCTACAGGATAAGTATCCTGACCCTGGTGCTGAACTGCAGGACAAAGAAGATGGACCTTTCCGCACTGCATGCGGAATATACGGTGCCGCTGCAGCAACTGCTGCAAGAAGTATAATACAATGTATGAACAACCGTAGGAATAACGATCCCGAACACGACGGCGAAGCCGAAATCGCGGGGCCACATGCGCCAGCTGGACCAAAGGCCAGACCTTTATCGCGTCCGCCGCCTCTTCGACCTGACATCTCAGATGCTCAGGCACCCGAAGAAGCTACCGGTTCCCCCCGTTCAGTCGCCGGCTCAGCCGTGACGACCAGGGAGACAAACCCACAACATCCCAACATGGGGGATCGGTCGGAATCACGCGCGCGCGATGCTGCAATGGATGCTGCCGCTAGCGCTGACATGGATGCTGCTGCCGGCGCTGCCATGGACGCTGCCGCAGGTGCTGCCGCGGATGCTGCCAGCAGCGATGCAGGCCACAGCTACGAGTACGACCCTTCCAGGTCCTACCCGCGCTACGTGAACGGAACCCTCGTCGGGTACTACATCCACCGTAACAGGGTCACGTGGCTTACCAACGCTGAGTGGTACACTCTGAACTACTGGCACCAGCTATCAAAATGGGAGCATGACCACCATTTCCCGCCGAGAGAGACGGCACCCACGAGCGACACTGACAGGGAAAGAGGGCGGTCTCGCACGCCTCGTGGCGTAGACGTACAGACGGGAGGATCGGCGGCGTCAAACCCGAAGCCTCCCGCGCCGCCCAGACGATCACAATATTTATAGAATGAGCATAGCCTGTGGAAGGACCTGAACTGAGTTCCGCCCGCGTGACTCAGTCGCGGCAGGCGCATGCAAAACAATTTACCCACGCGCGGAACGCGTGTTGGGCGCGGACACCTCTACTGGTCGGCTAAGCCGGTCCAGCGGAGAGAATTTATTTATCACAATGGTGGGAAACGTCGAGCTTTTTCGGCCCTTGGCCCCCTGGCAGCCACTGTTGAGCTGTAAAAGCTCTTTCGGATTGGCTCCGGTGGTTGTACAAATGTACAGGCCGGGGGTGCTGTGGCTGGATGGGCTCTACGCGGCCCGCCGCGGGGGGAGTAAATATGCTCCTCTCCGCCTCATAATCAATTAAGACACAACTTATTTTGCATGCATTGCACTGTCCGCTGGAACTGACAGCTGCGTTCCGCAGCTGTATGACTGCTCGAGCAAGCCAACCTCGGCTTGCAGGAGAGAAAAGGAGTGCGCTGGGGCGCGCGGGCGGCTCGTCGTCGTCCGTCCTCGGCCGACCCCCTCCCTTTCACATTCCTGATAGAGTAGTGTTGCTTAGCGGATACTTGTCTTATCAATGTCTCATCCTGAACATGAGATCTTAATTCCTTTGTCATCTTACCCCGATTCTCAGAGGAAAGACTGGAGGAGGATGAGGAGGAGGATGAGGAGGAGTAGGAGTAGGAGTAGGAGTAGGAGTAGGAGGAGGAGGAGGAGGAGGAGGAGGAGGAGGAGGAGGAGGAGAGGAGGAGGAGGAGGAGAGGAGGAGGAGGAGGAGCAGGAGGAGTCCGGGCCGCCCGTGCACCATGGTGCCCCCCGTGCTCGGCGGCCCTCGCCTCCACTCCCGCCCGTGCCTGCGGCAGCGCACTGCCTCCTACTACAATGCCACCTTTGCCGCCACGCGCGACCAATTCCGGAGGAGGAGGAGGAGGAGGAGGAGGAGGAGGAGGAGGAGGAGGAGGAGGAGGGGGAGGGGGAGGAGGAGGAGGAGGAGGGATGATGATGAGATGAGGAGAAGGAGAAGGGGGAGGGGGAGGAGGAGGGGGAGGGGGAGGAGGAGGAGGAGGAGGAGGAGGAGGAGGAGGAGGAGGAGGAGGCGCACGCGGTCGGGTCCGATGAGTCCGTGGGGGAGGTCTCTATGGGGCCACGGGGCGTGCGAGAGGTGTGCGGAAGCAGTCTGGGCGGTGGCGCTCTGCACGGGGGCACGCAAAGTGTGAGGTGTGTGAGTGTGTGTGTGTGTGTGTGTGTGTGTGTGTGTGTGTGTGTGTGTGTGTGTGTGTGTGTGTGTGTGTGTGTGTGTGTGTGTGTGTGTGTGTGTGCGTGTGTGTGTGTGTGTGTGTGTGTGTGAGGTGTGTGAGGTGTGTGTGTGTGAGGTGTGTGTGTGTGTGTGTGAGCGCCGAGATGAGGCAGGGAGCGCTATGCGGAACTGCCTTGCGGGGGCTCGGGGCAACGACGTGACACATCTGGCTCTTGCAGGAACTGAGCCCGACAAGCTCGTGAAGAACATGCACGGGCTAATCGAGCAGGGATACACCGTCCACTTCTGTGGCGTATTCGCCGCCCCACGGGAGATCATCGCGCGCGGAGTTGCCCGAGAAGTTGGGGAGGGTGACGTGGGCCGTTGGACAAATGTGGACATGTAACAGCTGGCGGCATGACAGAAAAAACACCTAGACGGCCAGTGTTTCGCCACCTTCAGCCCGTTTTCGATTCTGGGGCCCGCACACCATTCTTCGAGATGAAAAACATGGTTTCCCGCAGGGGGAACGTGAGACGTGGGGGCCCTTGCCCGAAAAGGCGAGCCGTCGGATGCCTCTGAAATCTTAGAGGATCTCTCTTTCGGGTTTTTGATTTTCCGTGTCCGGTTGTTTCCCCGCTCCACGCCTCGCTCCTTTTGGTTCCTTGCGAATTCGAGGGTTTTCGCGCGTCCCCACCAGCCTGTCCAGCGACCATCCAGCGCCTGCGGTTTGATCTGGTGTTCTTGTGTGTCGTGCCAGTTTTGCCAGTGTGGTCGGCCCAGTTTTGTTTGGCACTGCATTTGTTGATGTCCTGAGGGTGGGCGCAGTCAGCGTTTTCAACATAGTGCATTTATTCAAGTGGCGGTCCCCCTTCCTCGTTTTCGTACTCATTATCTGCCTTCCTTTCCCGCCGTTGCTGTCTTCGTTCTCTTCTAGTGCTCATACCTCTCCTTACCTCTCCCTCCTCCTTTGCGATATCTTCCCTCTGATACCCGTGTCCGCATGTGGCGGGGGCTGAACTACGAACGCATACACTTGTATGTCTTGAGGTTATGGTATATGTTCTGGCCTTTCCTGCGTTGTCCCGGTTTGTTTCTGTCTTGTCGAGTTGGTTCTGGCCAGTTATTGTGCTTTGGTGCTGTATCATTGGGTGAAGCTTTGTACGGTTCTTCGCCCGTTAGATGGTATGGCTCGCCGTGGTCGAGGATAGCGAGGAGCACCACAGAGACGGGGCAATGGATGGGGCGCAGACATGTGGCGTTTTCGAGTTTGGACCACAGAGGGGCGATTTCAACGCGGCTGCACAGGCTTCTGTGTTGTGCACCGATTGGTCTTCGCCCGACTCGAGACAGCCCCTCCCGCCAGTGTCCCTGGCCTCGATTTCTCGCCTGCCCCCCCTGTCTCCGGGACCCATCCGTCCCATGTGCGCGGCATCTCTTGCCATGAAAGAATAAGGGTCCTGATGGAACATGCCCTGCACCTTGTTGGGCTTCCTCCCAGGCCCCGCTGCGTCGCATATTCCATGGACCTCGCCTATTCTGCATACGCCTTTGGTTTGTTGCGTCCAGCGCGGCATCCGGCGCTATGAGGCGGGTCCAGCGCAGATTCGACGTGGCTTCGAGGATGGAGAATGGCGACGCGATGGGGCAGACAAGGCCTCCCCGAAGATGCAACATAAACCCGGCTCCTCAATACGGAGTCGTTTAGTGGTGGTCCCAGGGGACTGTGCAACGGCCCCTCGGGTCCCTGAAAACGGCGAAACCTTTCCGCTACGTTTTTATTTCCAGGACCGGCTCCCTCCACCCTGACTCGCCGATCCGTCCGTCCGCTCACCCACTTGCTCCTCCATCTGCCGCTCATCTGCTACCGCAGGCAAGACGCTGAGACGAGGGCCACGGTGAGCTCATGATGGGGCTCTGGCTTTTGGGCCGGGCCTGAGGGGCTCTGGTTTGCGGGCCGGGTTGTTCCTTTCGATTAGACGTAAGAGTGACCTTTCGCCGGTGTGACCTTTTGGTGCGGGCACAGCTGGGCCCCCAGATGGCTGAAAACGAAGCGGTAACAGCGGCTTGCGCGCCCAGGTTTGGTCTCCCCGCGGCCTCCAGAAAGCCGTGCACCAGAGGTCACTCTTACCCAGGGTCACTCTTGCGTGTAGCCGATCCTTGGATCCAGGTCGGGGAGCTCGTTCTTGGCAGAGGCTCGCCGTGGCCACAGCGCCCGGCTCTGGCTCGTGTCGCCGCGCGGGCTGGCCGCGGCCACGCGCCGAGGTCCGGCCACGGGAGCGCAGGAGGGCGTCGGTCAGGCAGTGGCGAAGCGTCCCGGCTGGCCTATAGGCCCACCAAGGAGTGCTCTAACAATCTCTTGTGGTTTGCACGAAATGCTCTTAGAACATTTCTGGCCGAGACTGCCTTGTTCTAACACATCGGATCCACGTTCGCAGAACACTATCTTTGTTACTAGAGTATTCTGGGGTTCTAGGAACAGGTCGTTGTAGGCCTGTATGAATGCCGGGACGGTCGGTCCCTGCTCAAGTCACGCCGAGAGCGAGAGGTGGATAACAGCGGCTACTGCAGATACGACATCAGCCTGCCAGCAGGTGCCCCACGGAAATGGCCGTCTTGGCCCCCGAGGGTCCCGCGGAGTCGTGGGGCACCTTGGGAAGCTCAGAGGTCCTCGATCTTTGAAAACCGGCATTGCTGATCGTATGTTGCGAAATGCCTCCCAGACGAGTGGCGAATGCCGCACGTGTTTTTTATCCACATTGGTCTTATCCACACTGGTCACGTATAAAGGTCCCACCGTCGTTTCCCAGAGGCTGCGCAGAGCTGGTTGTAGTGGGAATAATTTCTGATCGCATGTAGCTGTTGTGCAGGCATTTGCCCGAGCCCCCCGCCATTCAGATCGTTCTTAGCGACTCTTCTGCTGAGGGGGGGTGGGGTCAGGGCAATCAGGGGCAAGGTTTGGGGGAGATGACGCATCGACTCCCAGTCGCCCAATAATCGCCGAAGCATGCGGATTGGCTATCGGTTGCCTATCGCCAGTCTATCGGCGATGTACCGCCGATTCCAGGTCGATGATTCCCCCGGCCCCTGAGCTGACCCCGTTGTCGTTCCCCCTCAGGGAGAGGCAGGCAGCAGCAGTTCTGAGCGTCGAGATCTTCTGGCGCATTTCGGCCGTGCCTCGGTCTCCCCATTGCGAGTGATGCCGTGTCTGGGATGAAGGAGGCAGATTGGCTAAGAGACCGGCTTGCTGGAGGTGCCCATACTGGAAATAATTATCTCCTGATGGACTTTGGGGCTCGTGGGCCTGCGCGGATATTTTCGCATAGAGATGTTAGCCATCGCCGAGCCCAAGCAGAAATATATTGCAATCTATGCAGTGCCATCTGGGTGGTGCAATCAATTTTCGGCTATCAGTTTTCCTGGGTCCCCAAAAACCACGCTCCCACGATGAGAAAATTGAAATTGTGAGGTCGATCGCGTGTTTCGGCGCGGCTTGGAACACCGCACGTCGGAGCGTTGGAGTGGTCGCCCCTCCCGCACCGCACTGTCAGACCTCTTTTGGTTCTGATCTACGCATGACTTGCGGGTGTCTTGGCAGGGCTGGACCTAAACGGTGCTTTTGGTGATTTCGTGGGCCGTTTTCGTTTCGACTTCGTTTTGGGGTAGAAAGGCGGATTCGAGACAAAAGCGAGGGAAGACGACAACATAAGCACGCCGGGGGAAGGGGATGTAGCGCCAGCAGAAGGCATCGCCAGCAGGGGCAACGAAGGCCTGTCCAGCTGTTGAGTCGGCGGCAGCGCCAGCACTTGTGGAAACGCCCAGGCGGGGGAGGGAGAGAAGGGGAACGGGCCCCCGTCATTGTGCCGCAGGGGTTCGGCGTCTGTTGCCGCTGGAATTCTTGACGCTTCGTTGCTCCTCTTGCTGCTCCGGCGCAGAGGCTTCGGCGGTAGGTCCTGCTCTGCTCCGCGCTAGGTAATTAGGCCCCCGCGCGGCCCGCTCGGACCTTACTCGCCGTTGGCGCGCTCGCCTACGGCCGCTAACACAAAAGTATCCCCACCATCGCGCGAATTTAGGTCGTTGCCCGTGTGCATCGCTCCTGGACTTCGCCCGACCTCTTTCGCCGCGGTCGCGATCAAACAAGTATCCCCGCCAGCCCGTCCAGACACCATCGGAGGCTGTCTTCAGACCTCTTGGGTGCTATCTGGAGCCATGCTCGGCTAGAGGCTGCCAGAGGCTCACTTGAGCCATGCTCGGCTACTTGGGCCGAGTTGAGGTTGTCCCGGGCCCTCTTGGATGTCTGTCGGAGGCCATCGTGAGCCATGCCCGGCTATCCTGGGTCATCTTGAAGGCCATGTTTGGCTGTATCGTGTTCCCTTGCAGACATCTTGGACCGTGGGTGGAAAGGGTGTGGGTGTGGGGGGGTGGAAAAAGGGGTGGGGGGGGCCTTGGAGGCTTCTTGGGGCATTCGTGAGCGGCGCCATGGCCCAAAATGGGGGGGTCTTGAATGTGGGCCCCCGCTTCGGAGCCCCCAAAGTTGCGCGTTGAGATCACCTTTGGGTGCTTTTGGAGCGTTCTTGGGCGCCCGCGGGGCCCTGCTGGGCCACCGGGTAGCAAAACTCACCCCGCCCCGCCCCTCCCTCCTCTGCCCCCCCCCCTGCCGTCCCTTCTCGCTCCCCTCCCTGGCCCCCTTCCCTGTTTTCTCTTTCCCCCCCCCCGCCCCCTTTACCTCCTCGCAGATACTGCCCTCTCGCCCTGGCCCGGCCATCCCTCCCCAGGCGCAACCCGCCCGCCCCCCGCCATCCCGTCGACGGGCAAGAAAGATTGCAAACCACGCGGCCGCCGCACAAAGCTGAAGTCGGGCTTGCCCCTCTACAGGAGGAATATTAAGGAATAGTCAAGAATAGTCTGGGGGCGATGTTCATATTGTCTTTCGATGAGGTTTGAGCCTTTTGGTACTTTTTGTCAAAGTTTGTCTTCCAACATCCGCCTGTAGGAGGACATGCCCGACATAACGCACAGCGCAGCAGGCCAGGGAGCGCGACGTGCGGGGTGGCCGCCGCGCCCCGACGACGCCCTTCCGCCGAAGCACGCGCACGGGCGAGCATCCGGGGACCAGGCAACCTACATGCAGACCTTGCCCCTCATCCCTCTCCTCCCTGGCCACCCCCGAGCGCCAAAGACGGCGCCGCACTCGCAGGCCTGGCAAGCCGCTCAGTAGAACGCCCCCGCAAATGTGGCCATTATATTTTGGCGAGGAAGTTTCAAGCGAAACCTCCTTTTTGCGTGACGTCGCCTGGTCCCGCAGACGGGAAGTCGAACGGGCGCAGCGTGCCTTCCCGCAACGGTGGTGGTCATGCGAAAACTACGGGTCACGTCGGCTGAAATTAGTGGTCACGCCCAAAATAGTGGTCACATCGACCGACATCAATGGTCATACCCAAAATAGTGGTTACATCGATAGAAATGAGTGGTCACATCAGCACAGCATCGTGGTCACACCCTACGCTTCCACAATCATTGCTGTTGCGCCCGCATTATCCGTCGCGGCGTCTCCTCGGCCAGTCGGGGGCCCCGACTGGTGCTCCCGCGGCGTTCGCTTCGACCCGCAGGTCGCAATGGATGATCAACGCCCGTGCGACTCGGAAACCGCAGTTCGCCACTTTGCTGCTGTCCCAGGGCCTCGTGGAGGTCTGCCGGGGCTATCTTGAGACATGCCCGGCTGTCTTGGGTTATCGGGAAGGCCACACTTTGGGCTATCTAAGGTACTCTTGGAGCCACTTTGGGCCAAAAAGAGTGGGGTAGAGGGCGGAGAGGGGTTCTAGGGGGTTGGAGGGTCGGATGGAGGGTGGGGTGGAGGGTGGGGTGGAGGGAGGCTGGCGAAGGGGCTGGGGAGGGAGGTGTTGGGCGGGTCTGGGAGGCCTCTTCGGGCAATCGTGGGCACCGTGGCTCAAAAAGAAGGGAGTCCCATTTTCGAGCCATCCTGAGGCTTCAAAAGCAAATCCGAATCGAATGTACGAGAAGAGACACCAACATGCATTTCCGTTTGGTGTTGGTTAACGATTTGGGCATTTTTGGAGGTGTTTTGGGGGAGGTCGACGGGCGCTTGGAACAGTTCTGTGACGATCTTGGGGCTTCTTGGAGGTCTGTCGGCGGCTATCTTGCGCCATGTTCGGCTGTGTTGGCTCATCTCGGTTGCCACCTTGCGCTCTCGTAGGCCTTCTTTGGGCCATCTAGGGCCATCCTGGCCGCTCAAACGCCACCTTCCCCCCTCCAAGCCCAGGGTCGGGGGCAGGGGGAGGGGTGAACCTTTTCCCCCGAGCAGGGGAAGGAGGGGGGTGGCAGAGAACAGAAAAGGGTTTCTGAAACCACCTACGCCCAGAGGGCTGGTGGGATTAGAGGAGGATCGGAGATGAGAGACACTGTTTGCTGTACCTTCTCTTCATGTTCTTTCTGTTCGTCGTCCTCTTCTTGCTCGTGCACTCGCTGTGCCCACCTTCCTTCAAGGACATTTGCTTTGTGGGCTTGCTGGGGTTCCTCGTGCCCGCCCGAGGACCTCGGCGATTCCCGCGTTGTGCCCTGGAGAGCCCAGGAGGCGCCTGCTCGTTTGGAAACGGTGCCCCAAATAGCCAGCCTCGAAAGGCGCCCTCCAGGTCGGTGTCCAAGACAACATGGCGTCTGGCCGTCGGCGCACCGTCGGCGCAGAAGCATACAATTCAAGCCAAACGCATGGAAGATAGTGGGCGACCTGGTGGGCATCTGGGCTGCTCTGAGGAAACAGGATGAGCGACTGTCCGGTGCAACCTGATTTTGTTGTCAATGTGGTGCAATCGACGTGGTGCAACGCAATGCAAAGCAGTGCGAAGCGATGCAGTGAAGTGCAAAGCGATGCGAAGCAATGCAACGCGATCCTCGGCAACGCATTGCAATGCAAAACCGAGCAATGCGATGCAAAGCAATGCAAAACAATGCAAAGCCATGCATAACAATGAAACGCAAGGCAATGCAACGCAACGCATCGCAATGCAAAGCAATGCATAGCAAGGAACTGCAAAACGATACACAGCAATGCAAAGCAATGCGAAACGACACAGTGCGATGCAAGGAAACGCAAAGACACGCAGATCGCAACGTAAAGCAATGCACAGAAAAACCGCAAAGCGATGCAACGCAAGGAACGCCGCACGGCAAAGCAAAGCACTGCAGCGCGATGCGATGCGAAGCGAGGCAGCGCGGCGACGGACGGCCACAACCTGGCCTGACCGACACCGGGGGCACAGCTCAGGCAGCGGTGACGGGCGGCGGCGGCGGGCGGCGACGGGTGGCCACAAGCTGGCTGGACCCACACCGGGGCCCAGTTTCGGCCGTGACTCGGCGACGGACGGCGGCGACGGGCGGCTGCAAGCCGGCCGAACCGACACTGGAGCTCAGTCACCTTAGAAGCTAGGAGGCCCAAAAATATACACCTCCCTCCCTCACCCCCTCCCTCTCCCAGGGAAGTGGAGAGGAAGAGGAGGAGGGATCAACGTGGAGGGAAGAGGGATCAACGTGGTGGTGGCATATTTTTGGGACTCGCAGAAGGAAAGCAAGAACCTCCAAGTGAGAGCACTGTTTAGGGGAGGAATGCGTCCCCTTGGGGAACCCAGCAACATATCTTCCACCGAGGCCAGCTCCTGTGCCGTGCCGGATCCTCTGCGCGCGCGCGTCGGCTGCACTCCGGCGGCTGCCGAGCAAAGAGGGAGAGGGGAAGCAGCCGGGGAACCACGGGGTGGCGAGAGCGGAGAAGCCCGACGGGGGGCACGGGGGACGCCCCCCTAAGGGCGGGCACGTTTTGTCAAGGGCTCCCTCGAGGGCGCGAAGTTATTCGCGCTTCGCGCTTCGCGGTCCTCGTTCCTTCTCCCCCTCCTCCTCGTCCTCCTTTTCTCCCTTTGGGGGGGCGGCGCGAGGGCGCGAAGTTATTCGCGCTTCGCGCTTCGCGGAGCGCGAAGCGCGAAGTTGGGAGCCCTAGTTTTGTATTCATATCCATTGCGTCTTGGACTTTCCGGGAAGGGGGCGCTGACAGGCCGCGGCGCAGTGGCTATGGACAAAACTATGACCTCTGGGGGCGACATTGTTTTTTAGCCATATTCACGGCGCCTCTGGAATCGGAGGAAGAGAGCCCGAAGCATCAAGACGCAGTGGATATGGATACAATTCTTGCCCGCGCCTATGGCGGCGCGCCCGCCCGACTCGTCGGGAGGTTCAATATCATACCTTGAGGCGGAGCTCGTGACGTACTGCGGGCGCGGCATCTTGGCTCAGCTTCCCGGCCCGAGCCTCGATGAGCTCGGCTCGACTCCCTGAGCGGTTCGTGTAAGCGAGTTGGGTCTGGGTCGCCTGGGGTCCGAGGCGGGAATTGATCCATCCCCACCGCCTGGCAGCCTCGGCAGGCGGTGGATATGGACATATTCGGGCCCCCGGAGGCCGAAATATATCCACATCCGCTGCCCGATGGGGCACCAGGACGTCGGTTCCCAGGCGGTGGACATGGATAAGTCCCCGCCACGCATGGGGCATCTAGTGTTGCCCAGAGCCCCGAGAGTGTGGCACCGGGCTGAAGCAGAGATGACGATGGGAAGGACGCGGACAGTGCAAGTCGAGAGAGTCTGCGAGCCCAGGCAAGAGGTACAACCGCAGCGAGAAAAAGCTCTGCCAGGCGGGACCGCTTGCCTCCCCCACCACAGTGGTGCGCCCTCCTGCCTTCCGACTCCTCTTTCTACTCCCACTCCTCCTCTCATCCGATACGCCGTCCTTCTCCTCCTCCTCCGCCTCCGCCTTGCATGCGCACCCTCTTGTTTGCCTCCTGTCTCCAGGGAGGGAAAGCCGCCCCGGGCCCGATAATAGGCGCTTGCTACATTGCCCTGGGCGTTTACCAAACAGCCCTGCCCTGTTCGATTCCTGCCATGAGTGCGTTTACTAAACGGCTTCCCTTGTCGGGGTGTTTCTTACGGGAGGGGGGGTGTTGTTTCTGCTCTCTAGGTTTCGCTATGCCCACATGTTCCCGAGCAATCATACCCCCCATCCCCTCTCAGGTGTGTGTCGGACCAACAGAGTTGAGATATGTGTCGACCACCACGAGAACACCCTTCTGCAAGCCATAAAAAACTCCCACCACATCTTTTGGATGAGGTGGTCTAGAGAGGTCTCTTTCCTCTTCCGAAATCTCGTTTCTAAAGTCTCTTCCCTTCGGGGAAGATTACCGTCCCCCTCCCCTCCCTGAGTTTTTTTTGAGAGGCCGCAAGGTGTCAGAGGATCTTCTTTCGTCAAAGATGGCTCCAAGAGGGCCTCCGATGCTTCAAGATGGCCTCCGAGGCGGCTCAAGTTAGCAGAAAATGGTTCAAGATAGTTCCCGAAATATCTCCAAGCGGCCCAGTGAGGGCCACAAGGCGGTTCCAAGTACTCTCGTAGCCCCCTATCAGGACTCCTCAAGAGGCCAACATCCTTCACACACCCATTAAGGGAATTCAGAGATTGTTGCCTTCTCGCCTTATCGCTTCCGTCGCGCCTTTGAGACCTCGCCCCAAGATGGCCCAAGAGAGTCAAGAGGGGCCCAAGCCGCAACCCCAGGCGGCCCCAGGAGCGCCCAAGAGAGCCCCAAAAGAGCCCCAAGAGGCGAGTTCGATGGCTCTTGGGGGGAGGCCAGATGGCCCCTCCCTTTGCTCGATGGCCTCTAAGATGGCCTCAAGAGACCCTCAAGGGCTCCCAAAGACGGCTCCAAGACGGCCCCAAGATGGCCCCAAGAGCGTCCCAAGGGCGTCCGACGAGGGCCCCGGGAGGCGGTTTGCCTCCACCTCCTCCTCCTCCTTCTTTTCCTCATCCTCCTCCCCTTGCCCGCACCCATCGGGGCCCCAGGGATGGCCCGAAGAGGCCCTCCAAGGCCACCCCCTTGATGGCCCGAAGAGGCCATCCAAGGCCCCCCCCTTGATCCTAGAGATCTCTCTGTTCGGTTAATCCTGGCTGCTCGCTGTGGTTCACTAGCTGTATCTCGTCGTCCCTCTCCCCGTCATTTCTCAAGGGCACCGTTTCTGAACTGGCTGGTGGGGTTACTTTTTTGGTCAGCGGCTCCGAGGCAACGGACAGGGAGCGGAAGCCGGAGTGCTGGGGTTACGCGGAGCGTGAAGCATATCGAAGACGCCTACGGCGAATCACCGCCGCCCCCCCTGCCTTTGTGGAAGCGCCTATGTGGCCGAACGTTGAGGCCAGACCTGCCAAGCTATCGGACCATGTGTTCCCCGAATCGGTTTGGAAAGCCTTCGGGGAACACGTGGGCATCTTGAAGGTCATCTTGGCCGCCTGGAGGCCATTTTGACCCTTTCGGGCCTTCTTGGAGGACGTCTTGGAGGGCTCGTGGGCCGTCTCGGAGGCCATCTTGAGCGTCTTGGAGGCCTCTTCGGCCGTCTTGGGGGCCTCTTGGGGCCGTCTTGGGCGCCTCTTGGGCCGTTCTGGGGCCATCTCGGAGGCCTCTTGGGCGATCTTTGGGGGCTCTTGGGCTGTATCGGGCCGTCGGAAGGCCGAAACGAAGCAAATGTCAAAATCCTTCAAACACGTACGGAAAATCACTCTTTGTTGCCTTTTCTGGCCTTCCTGGAGGCCCTCTTGGAGGCCTCTTGGGCCGTCTTGGGCCAGCTGCGAGCCACCTTCGGCTATCTTGGTGGGCTCCTGGCCCGTCTGACGCCGTCGGAAGCTGTTTGGGGGGCCTTTTCTGGGCCGACTTGGGGCCCTCTTGGGGTGCTCCAGGGGCGTCTTAGAGGCCATCTTGGGTGTCTTGGCGGCCTCTTGGGCCGTCTTCGGGCCCTCTTGGGGCCGTCTTGAGGGGCCTCTTGGGCCGTCAGGGGGCCATCTTGGAGGCCTCTTGGGCGATCTCGGGGCGACCTTGGGGGCCTCTTGGGCCGTCTTGGAGGCCTCTTGGGGGCCTCTTGGACCGTCTTGGGCCATCTTCAGGCTATCTGAGGCCGTCTAGGGTACATCTTGGGCCGTCTTGGAGGCATCTTGGTGCCATCTTAGCCGTCTTGGAGGACATCTTGGCCGTCTTGGAGGCATCTTGGAGGCCACCTTGGCCGTCTTGGAGGACATCTTGGGCGTCTTGGAGGCCTCTTGGGCCGTCTTGGGGCCCTCTTGGGGCCGTCTTTTGAGGCCTCTTGGGCCGTCACGGGGCCATCTTGGGGGCCTCTTGGGCGATCTTGAGGCGATCTTGGGGGTCTCTTGGGCCGTCTGGGGCCGTCGGAAAGCCGAAAAGGCGCAAATGCCACAATCCTTCAGCAACTAAATGCAAGTCAATGATTTTGCCTCTTCGGGCCTTTCCTGGAGGACCTCTTGGAGGCCTCTTGGGCCGTTTTGGAGGCCTCTTGGGTGCCTCTTGGGCCGTCTTGGGCCATCTTCAGGCTACCTTAGGCCGTCTAGGGTACATCTTGGGCCGTCTTGGAGGCATCTTGGGGCCATCTGAGCCGTCTTGGAGGCCATCTTGGCCGTCTTGGAGGCGTCTTGGCCGTCTTGGAGGCCATCTTGGGGCCGTCTGGGGCAGGAAAACCGTTTGCAACCACCTCTTCCAGGTGGCCGGCGGGACGTGACGAAGCCCCATGGGGAGCTCTGTTGGAAAAAGAACCAAAACCAAAAGCCATATCGTTTGGCACGCCAGGCACCCCTTTGATACATCAAAAGGGGGCAGCGGATCTCATGGCCCTCGGCCCATCCCGCCACCGTGCTTGGGTTGTAGGTTGTCGGCATCCAGGATAGTCGTTGTCATGTCGCGAGGGTGGCTCTCGGGGGCTTTTTGAGGGCCGCTTTGACGCCTATTGGGAGCCGCGTTGGGGCCTCTTGGGGCGTCTTGGGGTCCTCTTCGGGGTCTCTTGAGGCCTCTTGGAGGCCTCTAGGGGCCTCCTTGTTGCTTGCCTCCTGGCACGGAAGATTGGGATTTTCGAAGTCGTGTTCCCCCTCTTGGGCCTGTCTTGGGGCTGTCTCTGGGGCGTCTTGGGCCGTCTTGGGCGCCTTTGGGGTTGTCTTGGAGCCCTCTTGGGCCGTTTTGTGGCCCTCTTGGAGGCCTCGTGGGCCGACTTGGGGCGGTCTTGGGTGCCCCTTGGCACTTCTTGGAGCGCCGGGAACTCGAAGAGTCGAGAACCTCGAGATCAGTGGAACACCCCATGGGAATCATTGATTTTGGCACCTCGGGGTCCTCATGGGGAGGCTCGTGGGGCTCTCTTGTGACGCCTGGAAGGTTTCTTGGGCCATCCTGGGGCCATCGCGGGAATCTTGAACCGATCGTGTTGCGATTCGGGGCCCTCTTGGACCCTCTGGGCGGCCTTCTGGGGCCCTCTTGGAGGCAGTCTTGGTTCCCGACAACTCACGCGAAAAGCCGCGCCAAACCCCAACGTACTTAGTAATTTCGGGTCCGTGCCACTAACAGAATTTTCAGGATTTCGGACTGATGCCTCAGGGGATCGAGCAAGGGACTTCTGGACACTCCAAATCGCGCCTCAAGGGAACGGTGGCGGATTAGCATTGGAGGCTTAGAGTCCCATTCATCGAGATCATTATTATCTCTGCTATCCGCATAGACCAATGGAAGCACGGGCACAAGTCGAAGGAAACGCTGACCATTTCGAGGCACCATGCCCGTGTTCGACTTTGGCATGCCCGTGTTCGATTCGGGCATGCCAACCTGTCGCAATGTAACGCGGTGCAGGCGTTGGCTAGGGGAACGGTCCGAGATTGCGAGACTCTGACACGGTGGAGCCGCATCCACTTATGATCGGCATCGTTGCATTCGCAACCTTTTCCATCCTGTGTTCGTCGTGCACCGCCCAGGTATGTATGCAACGCAACAACCGCGATCCATGGCCTTGCGTAGGCCGTGAAGAACGGGTGGGGGTCTGGGGGCGACAGATGTTTCACCATCTTCGTCCTGTGGACGAAGAGGAGGAGGAGGGGGAAGGGGGAAGAGGAGTTGCAGATTGAAGAGGAGGAGGAGGAGGAGGAGGAGGAGGAGGAGGAGGAGGAGCATGGGGAGGAGGAGCGAGTGAGAGAGGTTTGGCTAGGATGGGCAGAGGCAGCGACCCAGGGCGTCTTGGAGAAGGCGGGGCGGAGCGGTGGGTTCCTTGGGCAGGCTCGCAGCCTGCGCGACGCCTGCGCAGGTCCTCTGACTTTGGCCCCTTTGCGTGCCAGTCGCAACTTCCCGCGTGCTTCGACCCTGCGCCAGCGCGGGCAAGCGCGCGAGGTCGATCCGTGCCGCCTCGGCACGGAGGAGGCGCAGAGGTCGAGCGAGGACACACGGGCCCCATCCTCGATCCCATCCGCCCTCCCCGCAAGACGTTCGACGCGTTCGCCCCTGCCGCCCGGGCCGCGAACGGCAAGTTCTGCATCGTGCGCAACAGCAGCGGCAGGAGCCCGGAGGTGTACATGGAAGGCGCCCGGGAGGAGCAGCGGCAGCGGGAGGAGCAGGGCCAGAGGTCCGGTCGGCGCTCGGTCGCGCGAGCCCGTGGCCGAGGTCCTGGCGCGTGCGAGATACAGTCGGCGCGTCACTTGACCAATTCTGATTCTCACTCTCGGTCACACCTTTCTGGTCCTCTTGCTGCTCCTAGTTCCTACTCTCTGTCGCAGCTCTCTGTCTGCGTCACGCGGGGCTGAGTCAGGTGACGGGCGGCGGGAGCACAATTCGAAGCGTCATGGCGACGCTGGCAGAGAACAAGACAAAAACAGTCGGCGCGTCACTCGAGGGACTTGCCTACCAAGCAGCCGGTGCCCCACGAAAGTTTCCCATCTACACGTGGGCACGCCGAGTCGTGGAGCGCCGTGCGGAGCTCGGAGTCGACAGAGGATGTGCCCCTGGATTCCCGACAACAGGTTTTCATGTCGCCGTTACCCGGAAGCGGGGTCACGCTTCTGGAGCTTGACCGCGAGGCGTTAGCGAGCAGAGTTGAGTGCAGCGCTTTCTTCAAACTGCCAAGAGAGTTCAAGCATCGCAAGTCGGTCCTCAATGCCGCCGAATGAAGCAGGTCACGTCGTAGGTCCAAGTTGCGAGAGCACCCAAGAGACGGGATGAGGAGGAACAGCAGGTATCAGAAGCGGGGTAGAGAGCAGGAGCACCAGGGGGGGCTCGAGCAGAAGCAGACGGAGGATGACCGCAGCTGCGGCACCGACGCGCACGGCTCACGATCACGTTCACGACGCCGACGGCCCGAGGCAGACGTGGCTGGCTCCGCTTGCATGGCCGTAGCCGCCCGCCGCTGCCGACCTCCTCCTTCCGACAGACAGCCGAGGCCGAGGCCGGGACCAGAGCCTGCCTTGATCAGGGCCGAGGCTTGGGCCTGTGCTGGCGATAATGGGGCCGAGGCCGGGGCCGAGCCCAGGACCGCTGTGACTCAAACTGGGGGGGTGGATTTGGGGGACGCAGTAGGGAGAGAGGGAAGGAAGATGGGAGGTCGAGAGGGGGGGGGGGGAAGAGATGGGGGACAGACGGAGAGGGGGAAGAGCCACGGGAGCAGAAATACCCCTACACTCACGGTGCTTAAACAGTCTTGGGTGGCCACCACGCAGTCTTGTTCTGCTCGATTCTTTCATGGGGTGCGATTACCTGAGGCCTTTGCTCCTAAGTCGGGGCGCTTTTTTGTGAGGATGGTTTTTCGGCCCTCCTACAGAGAGGGAGGGTGGGTGGCGGGGTCGATGAGGTCCAGTGCCGCCCCTGATCTTGACTCCCAGAGAGTCCTCGCAGAGTCCTGTGGCGAGGCTTCGGGAGCGCAGCAAATTATCGGACTCGTCGGATGTTGTCCCGCCTGTCCTCGCAGATCATCAAGATCCTGCTTGAATCCCCGCGGGGCGTACCAAGAGGATAGGGAAGCGTAGGCAGATGCTACTGGATGAAGCCTGGCCGTTTAGGGACCCAGGGCAGTTGTAACCCGCTTGTAGGCGGAGCTTGTCCAAACATATCCCACCTTTGCAGCCTATCTATCCCCCAGGAACCCCCGCGGTGTTCCAAGTGCACGCGCCCAGGGTCAGAATGCAAGGACCAGGCCCTGCGCTGCCCACGGCGCTCTTCCTGTGCGTCGTCGGCTGCGGACCTCGGCTCGGTGCAGCTCGATCCCACGTCGCTGGGAGTCGGAGACGGGGAAAGGAGGGAGCGAGGGAGGAGGCGGGACGACGGGGCAAGGAGCTCGGAGCAGGAGGAGGAGGGAGGAGGGCACCGCCACCCGCGGCGCACCTCCCCTCTCCTGACTTGTGGGGACGGGCACTGCACTTGCGCGCATCATGCAGACGCTGACGCTACGCGTACACTTGGGATCCCGAACTGTGCTGCTCCTCCCACTTGGCTGCCTTCCCTCCAGATGCAGGACTCTGTGGGCCGCCTGTGCAGCCGAGCGTAGCGCCTTCACATTCCTTATTCCCCCCCCTTCCTTTTTGTGATGCAGAACCGCATCCGTCGCTTCGCCGCGTAGACGTTCCCCTCCTATCCCCCGCTTCTGGTGCTTTTCTTCACCAGGCGTTTTATCCTACCCCCTCCCAGGCGACGACGAGAGAGGGAGAGGAGGAGGTCGAGGACAAGAACGAGGACGAGGACGAGGGAGGAGAGAGGAGGACGAGGATGAGGAGGAAAAGGCGAAGGATAAAGGAGAAAGAAGAGGACGTCGACGAGGAGGAGGCTAGGGACGAGGACGAGGACGAGGACGAGGGAGGAGGGAGTGTGGTCGGAGCAGCGGGGCCCGGCGGGGACTGCCACAGGGGGGCGCGGGGGAGGAGCCCAGCGGCCGCAACCAGGCCGCGGCGGCGCGGAGATCTCCTTCAGCCTGGAGCAGGGGCTCGCGTGGGCGGGCCCGGAGCCGGCGGCCGAGGCCGCCCCTCCCCCCCCTGGAAATCACCAGTGGGAAGGGAACAGGTCCTGAGGGAAACGCGGCCTGAGGCTCTTCTCAGGGGCGTTTTTCCCCCCACTAGTACTTTCAACGAGTTGTGGGCGGAAAAGAAAACACGATGTCCGCTTGGGCCCCCGTCGGACGCGACCCGCCGCTGGTAATAACGCGAATGCGCGGGCGTCGCGGCGACGACGACGGCGACGGCGATGACGGCGGCGCCTGCGCCGACGGCGACGACGACGGCGGCAACGGCGACGGCGGCGACGACGAACATCGCGGCGACGGCGGCGACGGGGTTTGGGCCCACGGGCGAACGCGCGCCCCGCCCTCGCTTCTGGAGTCCCGGGCCAGATTTTATGGGAGGGGCGAAATTTTTGCGTGCAGTTGTGCCCCAGCCGCTCCCCCGCTTTACTGAAGCTCTCTTTTCGATGTAGTAAAACGTTGTTTTTTTTCGAATGTATCGAGCGACGCGCCTGAACTAAAACCGCTTCTTCGCTTTAGTGAAGCCGTTTCCTCGCTTTAGTAAAGCCGCTACTTCGCTTTAGTAAAGCCGCTTCCTCGCCTTAGTAAGGTCCGTGGTCTGCCTTAATTTAGTCTTGGGGATGCGGTGGCGACGCGGGGGCAAGGCCCGGTCGGGGGCGGGTGGCCCCTGTCTTTCCTGCCAGTTCACCCCGCGATGAATCTGCTCGAATAATCAGGGTCGCGTTACATCGGGTCGCGGCGACCCTTGGACATGTTCCCAGCGAGTTGCAGATGCTCCTTGACACAGAGCAAATGCACTTTACTAAAAGGCCTATTTCTTTTAGCGATTCGCCCTGTCAATCAAAATACTAGTGTGGACCTTTCGCTTCTGATATTCTCTCTCTAGATGTATCTCTGTGTTTGGTTGTTCTCTCCCTTTCTCTCTCTCTCTCTATTATTTGTTTCCTCTCTCTCTCTCTCTTTCTACCTATATAGGTGTATATAAGTATGTCTCTCCCGTTCTCTTTCCATCCACATGGTCATTGTTTCATCGGGTGGTAGCGGGATCATGCACGGAATCTGCGAACGTGCGTTTGCGTCTCCACGCCCCTTGCCGTTTTTCCGGCCCTCTGCGCTCTCTTCTTCCGCATATTTACATATGTTCACATACCTACATGTGTCGATGATGTTGCCCACACGGTCTGTTGTATGTTATCTATATATATATATACATATATATATATATGTATAGATATTCATATATGTATGTATAAACAGAAACATAGTTATATAAACTTCTATCTACCGCTACATCGTATAGGTCGAATGTTAAACGCAGTTCGATGTTCGATATACAGGTGTGGGCGCAGTATGTGTAGCATTGGCGTGCTCATTGTTCATATGTTTATACTGTTATGGTTTGCCCGCTTTGCATGAACATTACGCGCGTTGTGTGTTTGTCGTTATCTCTCTCATGTTGCTCTATGTTTTTGTATACCGAAGACGCCTACGGCGAATCACCGCCGCCCCCAGACTTTGAGGGCACGCAGATGTGGCAACACGCTTGGGCAAAGTTTGGCTACGCTATTGGACCATGCGTTCCCCACGCCGTTGTGTAAGCCCTTCGGGGAACGCGTGGGGAAAGAGGATGAGGATGAGGACAGAGAGGGACAGTGAGGACGAGGAGAAGGACCAGGAGATCCCTTAGAAGTCTCTTGGCTCGTTCTTGGGGCCTCTTTGGAGCTTCCTGGGGGCCTCTCGGATGCCCTTTAGGTGCATGTGTGGGCCTCTCGGGGGTCTTCGGAGACTCCTTGGGAGTTTCTTTGGCCGTAAGCGCGCTCCTGGCCCATCGGGCACCGTCGGAAGCCGTCTTGGGAGCCTCTCTTGAACTCTATTGGCCGTCGTAGGGCCCTCTTGGTGCGCCGTCTTGGAAGCCTTCTTGGGCGTCTTGGAGGCCTCTTGGGGGCATTTGGCACGCCGAGCACCCCTCTGGCAAGACCACGTTGGGCGGCGAATCGAAGACAGCTACGGCGAATCACCGCCGCCCCCTGCCTTTTGAAAGAGCCTATGTGGCCGAACGTTGCGGCCAGAGCAAGACCAAGCTATCGGACTATGTGTTCCTCCAGACGCGTGATGGAGGAAGATAAGGATGCGGACAGATAGGAAACAGGAGGATGAGGAGGAGGCTGAGGAGGAGTCGAAGGAGGGAGAGGCCTCGTGGGAGCATCTTGGGGCTCTCTTGTAGTCTCCCGGGGGCCTTTGAAGCCTCTTGGGGGAGTCCTGGGGCCTCCTGGGGGCCTTTGGAGGCTCCCTGGGATTTTCGTTGTTCGTCTGAGGCGTTCCTGGCCCGTCTGGCGCCGTCGGAAGCCGTCTTGCGGGCTTCTCTTGGCCGACTTGGGGCCCCCTTGGGGCGCTTCAGGGCCGTCTTGATGGTCTCGTGAGCTGTCAGGGGGGCATCTCCGACCATGTGAATGCTGAAAATGAGGAAGCGTCAACATGTGCTAGAACATTAGACGCATCATGGAGATTGATTTCCTCGAGTCTTCCTGGAGGACATCTTGGAGGCCTCTTGGGGGCCTCTTGGGCCTTCTTGGGCCGTTGTGAACCATCTTAGGCCGTCTGCATTGCACGGTGGGTCGCCTTGGGGGAATAATGCGGCTATCTTAGGCTCTCTTGGGCCCATCCCAGTCGTATTGGAGGGCATCTTGAGCGTGGTGGGTTTTGTTTTGGACCGGCTGTGGCCTACTTGGGTGCCTCTTGCGCCGTCATGAGGCCATTTTGGAGGCCTCTTGGGTGATCTTAAGGCGATCCTCGAGACCTTTAGGGCCGACTTGGGCCGTCGGAAGGCAACACGAATAGCAAATGCCAAAAGCATGCGAACTCTTCTGTCAAGTCATTGGCTTTGGCTTCTCCAGGCCTTCCTTAATGACCTGTCTCTTGGGCCGTTTTGGGGGCATGTTGGGCCGTCTTGGGCCGTCTGGTGGAGGCCAACTTACGTAGGCAGCCTTGGCTGCATCTTTGGCCGTCTTGGGCCGTCTGGTGGAGGCAGCCTTGGCTGCATCTTGGGCCGTCTTGGAACCATGTTGCTGCCATCTGGGGTCCTTTGAGGGCGCCGAAGGGGCCGTCTTGGAGGCCAGCTTGGGCTTCTTGGGGGCCTCTTGGGCCGTCGTGGGGCCAGCTTGGAGGCCTTTTGGGCGATCTTGGGTGCGTCTTGGGCCGTTTTTGTGCATTGTGAATGCCAGCTTCAAGCACATGCCCACGTCCTCCAAACACCAACAGCAAGTACATGTTCTGGTCCTCTTCGGGGCGTCCTGGCGGACCTCTTCTCGAAGGCCTCCTGGGCCGTCTTGGGGGGCCTCTCGGGCGGCTCCTCGACAGCTGGGGCTCTCGGGGGCCATCTGCGCGGTCTTGGAGGCACCTTGGGACAATCATGGATGCCATCTTGGGGCTGCCTTGGGATCTATTGGGGCCATCGTGGCCGTCTGGAAGGCCTAAAACGACCACCAGAACCTCTGCACGCCAGGCACCTCTGTGATACATCCACAGGTGGCGGCGGATCGAAGACACATACGGCGAATCAGCGCCGCCCCCTGCGGTTGTTGAGCCGCATTTGTGGCTGAACGTGGGGGCTTGAGCTGGGCCTAGCCATCGGACCAGGAGGGCATTCGGGGGACACGCGTGGAAGGAGGAGAAGGAGCAGAAGGAGCGGGAGGAGGATGAGGAGGATAATGACGAGGAAGGGAGGAATATGGATGAGGAGGAAGGGGAGGAGGAGGAGGAGGAGGATGGGGAGGGGGAAGGTGCCATCCTGGAGGTCATCCGAGAGCGCACCCCAAGGCACTGTTGAGGGGATGTCTCGAGCGAAACGCTCACGTTTGACCAACAGTGCCACAGTAACCATGTGGTGTTTCATTGATTGCGCTTCTTGGGCCATCTAGGAGGTCATCTGAGAGCGCTCCGATATGCTCTTCGATCCATTAATTTGCAGCACTTCATGGTTTGAGGATGTCTGCAGCGCAATGGCCTTTTTGGAGGATGCGAAGACGAGGCCATCGATTTCAACATACCCTTTGTTCGAGGATGTCTCGTGCGAACTGCTCATTTGTCCATACGGCGTCTTGAACAATGCTCCCCAAATCACGATAGCCTGAGAATGTCCCTAACGAAATGGGCGAAATCAAACTTTGGACCACCTCGCCAGCAGCCTTCCGCGTTGCTAGTTGGCGGCTTATTCGAGGATGTCTCAGGCGAAACGCTCATTTTAACATAAGACATCTTGAGCTAGGATCCCCAAGGTCGGCATTGTTTGAGGATGTCCCGGGCGAACGGCACAATGGCCGGACGGGCCGAAGCTCCAGGGGAGAGTTCTTTTGGGAAAAGAACCATCACCAAGCCGTAAGAAGGTCAGCATACCAGGCACTCTTGTGATAAGTCAAAAGGAGGCGGCGAATCGAATGGTCTCTGGCCCATCCTGTCACCGCGCTTGGGTGTTAGGTCAGAGGCCTCTGGGATGTCCGTAAGGATCTTTTGGGGGGCCTCTCGGAAGCCTCTCGTATTCCGTTCAGTGGTGTTTGGGGGCCTCACAGGGGTCTCTTGGGGGCTTCCGGGGGTCTATTGAGCCTGATTTGAACCTCTTCGGGGCCTGTTGGTGATCTCGGGCTCGAAATGTCGGTTCGTGTTCCCTCTTTGGGGCCTCTCTTAGGCCTCTGTCGGAGCTCTATTGGGCCGTTTTGGGGGCCTGTTGGGCCGTCTGGAAGACATCTTGGGCCGCTTTGGGGCGCTCGTGGGGGCCTCTTGGGCCGTCTCGGAGCGTCGAGCGCTAGAAAAGGCGGGAACGCTAAAATCCCTTCTGAGATTTTGGCATCACGATTTGGCATCTCGGGGCCCTCTTGTGGGGGCCATTGGGGCCCTTTTGGAGCATTTTGGTGGCCTCTTCGGCCGTCTTGGGTGCATCTTGGGCATCTTGGAGCACTCTTGGGGCGATTCGGGGCCCTCTTGGGCGCTTCTTGGGGCCTTCTTGG